TATACATACGATTACGTCTCCGTTCGTTAATTGATTTTCCGTAACTTCGTTCCGACGAAACTTTAGCGACACAAGTCCTTTCTTAAATAAAACTGGTTTATTCTTTCCGAATACAACTTTACGATACACTTAATTTCAACAGTCGCGCTATAATTCTCAACGAACGTCTCACGTGCTCGAGTTCAATTACACACTCTCTGACCGCAGTTCAATTACTCACTACTACACTGTTGTCCCGTCACGTTGTCAACGTCTTATATATACAAGACTAATACATATCTAGTAAATGCTAGGGCATTCTTGAAGGAACAGGATATTTCTAGAAAGGGGGTGGCGTGATACTAGTCACGTGACCTCGCTGATGCAACAATACCTTTAATTTTTGAAAATTACTAATGGGCTAAATAAAGAATGTAGTGTTAGAAAATATAACAGGCATCTTATTAATGTCATGCATAATTAATTACAATCATGTTTCGCTAGCTCAAAAAGCCATTCACATTATAACAATTATTTTTTTATAAGACTTTCTGTAATATGAAATTCTTTCTCATTCTCAATTTAAAAAATAATGTTGAAGTCTTTTAGCTCATTCACCTGACACATTAGTGATACTGAAAGTTTCATTTAAGTGTGTAGAAAAGTATTATTTTATTCTAGTATGTATTACGTAAGAGTATTCTTTCTGGGTGCATCTTTAAAACAAATGTTTAATTCTATAAACCTATTTAAAATATATCGTAATTGTATCTGTGGATATTCTCCAAGGAATAGGAATAGAGAAGATATTATAATTGTTTAATCTGAAAGCATCTTTTAACTCGGCATACCCTCTTCTGAGCTTTGCACACACAAGATTAGGAGAACCAGTAAGAAAATAAACGTTAATGTTTAAAATTTATGCCAGCAATGAATGAACATGTTAAGTGTTTTTATTCCTAAATTAACTATAGCTATGTATAATTGGACTGGTGGTAATCTTTACAACCTTGTTTTTATTTTATAGATATGGATAAAGAGGATCCCAGAAAATAGTAAGTTACAAATTCATCTGGTGCAGTTACAAAAAAGGAAAGTATTCCATAAAATGGCATGTCCTGAGGGGAATAATATATAAAAACTTTCATTCTCTTCATTGTCTGTTTCCTGAACTTGTAAGATTGCCTGTTAAATCAATTTTGTGGAGTACTGCCTTATTGAATGTTCACTTCTTTTATTACTGTGAATAATTCATGCTACAGGTTGAAGCACTACTGGGTTATTATATTGTTACGACAGCGGAAGTCACGCGATGCTAGGAGCATGCGCGTTGGAGTTTCTAGAAGGATCATGAATTTTCCTGGCAACTCTAGTTTGTTCGAGGCACCCTCTTTTTTTCAAGTATATAAGCCTGGTGAGTAAAACCAGCACGATGGGGCAGATAGATGGAAGCGATATAGATAGATTGAAGAAATAGATAATTGAGTCAAACGAACAGTAGGCACCGTAAGTAAAGTGTGTGAATCACTGTGATTTATAGCGTTTGTTATAAAGATTGTTAAGTTTAAAGTGAGTGTGGAAATTCTGTGTATTACAAAGTTGTATCGAGAAAGAAT